TGCAATAAAGATTCCTTCAGCTATCTGAATGTTAAAATACCAGAGAAAATCACTCGTTTCTTCACAAAGCCAGATACATGGACTTTTTATGCAGAACCCTGTGTTAGTACGGAAGACAGATTTTCCTTAAATAAGCCAACCAGTTTAATCATACCGCATTCCTAAATAGCCACAACCTTTCAGCAGCAGCACTGACAAGCTCAACAACACATATTTTGATCCTCTGCATGTCTGTCTGTGACTCATTTTCCTTTTCAGGGACATTTGGGTGGACTGGAGAAATGTACCATGAAGAAAGAACTGGAGATCGGGGCTCAGATCTAAGGTGATGTGCTTCCTCACAACAGTGAAGGCTCAATGCATACCAAAACAATGTCACTTCCACCTGTCAGAGGGAGGAAGATTTACGCTCTTATCAGATTATGTATGAGATAAAATCTAGTGTCACTGTACTGATTCCATTAGGATACTCTTTAACACAGCCCAGATTTTGACTTTGATTCATCAGAAGCAGGTGCTTGATTAATTTCCATAGGTCTACTCCTATGTTTGATGTTAACTGCAAGCTTTAAATAGATTGCTCAGTCAGGCCCATTTAGGGATACCCTGAGCATCTCAGGTTAAAGCGGTACTGCAACAGACTCCAGGTCTGCTGGAACTTACCCAACATAGGAATGGACATTGCAAGCTGTGTTATGTACAAATAAATACGTGGACTTTGGGAAGCATAGTATCAGGAAAAGGTGGCCATAAAAAAAGGAAAAAAGAACCCTAAACCAAGGCAAAGCAAAAGAAAGTTCTTTGACTGTGCTCTCAACTATCATATTAGCTCAGATCAGAGTTTACATTCACAGTATTTCCTAACAGGTGGCATTTATTAGAAAATTACAATGTAACAGTGGGCAGAAAACGGGAAAGCACTCATTCCTCTTTGGAAGAAGGTTTTTCTGTTTTTTTTTGTTGTTGTTTTTATTGCTGTAACTAATTTATATATTTATTTTTACACAGTAAGCCCAGTTAGTGAAAATTATTTTATGCTCCCTTGCTACTATACCAAGAAAATGAAATCCAAGTTCCTGCATGATGTGACATGTAAACCATTTGTGCTGAAGTGACTGCCAGAAATGGATGGAAAGTTTTTATCCTGAAGAAACGCTCAAATAAAATGCTAGCATAATCTAAAATTATTCACTGACAGTAACTGCAGGATATTTTGTGTATTCTCTTTTTAATCGTCAATTTAGCTGAGTCTAGTATTCAACAACTTAGAGCATCAGCAGAGAAAGTGATGTGTTTTCCCTTCTGACGTTCAATAAATCTGCGAACAAGTGGGGTTTTTTTAAAAGGAAGACATAAACCAACTTTGTTTGCATTTCAGGGAAAAAACCCTATCAGTAGTGCTGCCATCTAAGGGAAAGCACACGTGTTTTCAAAGAAAGTATTATGAGTGTGTTACAAACACTAACATTTTTCCAGTTTCACTCAGATCCTGATGCAGGTCAGGTTTTAAAAGCTGGACAGCCTCAGCTCCACCTAGATGTTGTGATCACAACTGCGTGCACTTATCTCACAGCATTCTCGTGTGCCATGATTCAGCTTCATTTCCTTTCTTTAAGGCAGTTAGAAGTCAACAAAAATAGATAAATGGCTTATTTCTTTTTCATAATATAACTTCAGATTTTCCAGACAGCCACTTGCTCCTTTGCTCAGAGAAAGTTAGAACTGGGTGTCCATTTTTCTGCACCAGGAAAAAAGGTGACAGTTCATTAGCTTTTGCTGTCAAATTCTAAAATTACACATTCACATCAATCCACCTCCTCTGTCCTATGGAGCTTCTCTGTTATCACAAAGCCTATTCAAAATTTCCCCAAGGGCCAAGACCAACACTTGAAAAAGAGTCTAACTTTGTACGAAACCAAAAGCATGCCCTATTACCCACCATCTGAGACACCCCCGCCTGACCTCGTTCTTTCTAGTGCTGTTATTTCAGACATGTATCAGTTCTCAGTCTGACCACAGCTGGGAGTAGTGATCTCCACCCTGCCCCCCCAAGCCTGCGTAACATTAATTTGAATCTTTTATTCATTCACTGACAGAAATATCAAGAGGTTTCTTTAAATGACAGCAATATGCCTGGGCGACTGATCTGCCAGAAGGATTCTGTGGAAATAACTGGCTATCAGAGAGAGACTGCTTTGATGTTACCATTTTCAGCATCCAGAGTACTTGGGTTGGATCAGTTTTTACTGGATTACTTTCATGGCAAGCTCTTTTTGTCCCATCTGCAGAGTTTCTTTGTGAGCAATGAATGAGGATGCATCTTGGGAATGATCTGATACTTCAAAAGATGATTCTTGTAGTTTATCTTGCAGTAAGTTTCTCTTCTGAAGGAAATGCTGCAGAGCCCTTGTATTGATCACAACGATAGTGCATGCAATGTGCTTTTTATCACTGGGCTGTCTGCACTATCACTTTTCAGTATAAGTCTGAAGCAAATCCTTGCAAGCTAGGACTTTTATTAATTGATATATGTGTAGATATATGCTGTCTTTCATAATGCAACATTTTTTTCTGCAAACACTTCAGAACAAAGCTGGTCCTGCTGAAGTCAATGAAAGTTTACTCACTGCTTGGTGAAGAACTGCAATTTAGACTTCTGGGAACGGTAAAGTCAAGAATATCTTTATGTTTGAAAAACAGAAGGTTGATTTTTTTTTTTTTGAGTTTTGTTTCCTGTACTGAGTTTTAATGGAGGAAAAACAAAAAGAAGAATTCGCACAACAAAGCAGCTAGACAAAGGTAGAAGTTACATTCAGAAAAGGAAAACTGGCGGCCTGTGTCAGCTAATGCATGTTTAGTAAAAGTTTCTAACCAGCACTCAGTCTGCAGGAGCAATGAAGACTGACATTTAAAACCATACCACATTATCACATTGTAAGCAACACTCCCCTATAGGTTTCTACATATGCAGACAAAAGTTGATTTCAAAGGTGTTAAACACTAAGCATTTTAAAACCAATAAATTTTTAACTTAAAAAAGCCATGGTCATAGCTAGGGTTTTTTTTAATAAGAAAATAATGATACACTAAGTTCTAAGTGTGAAAGCCATTATTCATGCCTATGCCCATATACTTTATTTGTCATTGGTCACTGAATAACTCAATTATTTTAATACTCTTTAGCATAGCTGCAATGGCAATTGAATGCTTGTGTGAACACAGCACAAACTTGCATGTGGATAATCCCTTAATCTGAATGACTCTTGTTCACAGCAGTGCTAAGGGTAGTAGCTAATGGGTTTCGAAACATGACTTCTAGCACACAAGTATTAGATACCTGAACATACGTACATATTTCACATAGCAATTCTGGCAATGTTCTCTTACAAGCAGGTCTTGGTACGTTTTTGCCTCAGTAGATGCACTCTATTTTTGGGTCTTTTGACCTTCATTCCTATGCAGGCTACATGATTATGGACAAACTCCTGCTCAGTTCTGTAGACATTTTTTCCTCATTTTATGCAGAACTTTAAAAAATGCCCTGCTGGAAGCCTTACAACACTGCAATTTTAGCTTAAAGAATTTTCTGGATCAATAGAAATACTCATTGAAGCCGTTACTGACTGATAACTGGGAAATGAAAAATTACAGCAGTTTAGGAACAACATTTCTCTCCTTTTCCTCAAAGCTCTGTTTTGAGTTACAACATGATCAATCCTCACCAACCTCAGCAGAGAGATTCTTTCAGCTTTGGATTAGGCTACATCCTAGAGGAAATGAAAAAACCCAGCCCCAAAACACAAGTTTACTTATGCTTTCTGTGACAAGGATATTTTCCTATGTTTAGCAAGATGATGATATAATTTTCTGTTGCCTCCTGCCTTCACTCACACTGAAACTGGAACACAGGATGTCATAATTACATCATATAAAGATGGGAAGACTTACAGTAACTAATAATAACAACAGATTGCTTTTCATCAACGTGAGCCAGGCTAATTTCTACAATATGATGTAAAATGCGAACTGGACTCCTTTCAGTTTCTTTTTTCTCTCTTTCCTGTCTTTAGCGTAAGTGATACTGCCGTGGCAGTTGTGATACTCAGAATAGAAAATGGAAACAAAAAAATCCATGAGCAGGCAACAAAACCAAACGACACTCAACATGCATGCAGCACGGTTACTCTTCAATACACTTCAGAGATGTTGTGCCAAGCTAACAGCAGCTGATTCTGGGGGCAGGGCCAGCAAGCATGGAAACGGGGTCAAAAAGCGAGGAGCTGGTAGGTGTCTACCAGCATTAATGCAGGAGACGGCCAGACCTTCTGGAAGTGAGCTTGTGTCTGGACAACCAGGACAGCTCAAGGACAACCAGGAGAGCTGCTGAGAGAGGGGTAACAGTGGCAGGGGCCCTAGAGATACTGGAGGCGCTCTTTAACAGCTGGCTTGGGAAATAGCTGTGATTTTGGCTGCCAGGTCCACTTGAGCTGCCTCCAGCACAGCCCTATTTGGATCATTCAGTAACATATGGGAGCAAGCATCGAATCCATATTCACAGAGACGGAAAATCAGAGGCATGACAGTGTGGCATTTTCACAAGTATCTGTGTATTTTTTCAGGCAAGATACCTGGGGATCAGCAAGAGTTTTATCTTAAAATAGGTACTTCAGAAACTTTCACCCTACCTGTCTGGCTCATTGTGCAAAAGAAGTTGGTATCACAACAGAAGCTAGACTGATAGAGTTTCAGAAAAGTAGCACATACCTATCCTTCAGTAATGAGTCATGATTTCATTTAGAAACAGTAATTGATTACTTGTACAAAGTAACCACAACAACTTCAATCCTGGCTGGAAAGCAATTGGTTTTGGAGACACAAGTGACTTCAATTGCAGAGATGGTTCTAGAAGCAGCATTATAATATGGGATAAAAAGCCAGGAACATAGAGAGTAAAGAACACTGCTGCATTAAAGGAAAAATAAAAGCCTCCAGAAACTTACCACTGAGGTAAGAGCCATCTGAAAACTGTAGATTCGTGCAAGGCCAAAGTCAGCTAACTTTATCTGCCCGTTGCTGGTTACAAGGATATTTTGGGGTTTCAGGTCCCGATGCACCACACGATGTGAATGCAGAAAATCCAGTCCCCGAAACAGCTGAAGCATCATATCCTAAATATAAATAAGAAATCAATATGCAATTATCAAGACAAGGTGGCAAACAAGTAAATGCCCTGTCATAATCTGCAAAACTGATTTAACAAATATTGACTTAAATATGTGCACAGAAGATAAAAACAACTATTAATATAAAATGGACAGGATGTTGCCAGAACCAGCTGACTTGAACAGGTGTCCTTATCAAGTTAATGTATTGTTTCTAGTTGAATTATTTGAGGTTGATTGATAGAAAGACTGGTCAACATACTTAAAAGATACAGCAAAAGCACATCTGTAAATCCCAGGACAGCTTCAAAAGTAAGAAAGATAGATACATAGCAGCTTTTTGCTCTTAACTTTAAAACACACACCACTTTGCCTCTCACAAGTTTATGCTTTGTCCTGCCTGAGTGAAGTGAAATTTCATCATTCACTTCAACAGGCATAAGGATCTGTTTCAATCAGAAAAGCTGTTTAAATGACAAATTCACCAGAATTTAATGTTTTAGAGGGATAAAGTTTACTTGGCAAAACCTGTTGTATAGAATTTCCTGAACAGGACAGAAACTACCTTTAGATCAAAGTTTAGCACTAAATCAGTGTAATAATTGTAAGTAACTGTTCTCATTTTCCTTTCTGTTTTGTTATATTGATGCAATCTTCTATGACATTTCCACAGCTGAAGAAACTTTTTCATCTGTACTCATGTTTTCACATTAATCTTAGTAATGCGAAAGGAATGAACCAACAGACTCAAAACTAAATAGTAGAAATCCCCTGAATTCCAACTTAGAAGGATACATCAACTTGAATATTATCTTTGCATAAATAGGTATTTACAAGAAGGTGCTGCAACAAGTAAGAAATAAAAGGGATAAAGAAAAAGTTCATTTTCTGTATGCACTTGACTTGAGTTCATGAAATTCCAGCTCTGTGTTTGCTGGTGACATATGCCCTTTCCATAAGCCATGCAGCAGGGTGTCCACCAATCCTGCTACTAGCAACCAAAATGATCTTGGAGAGGTGCATAGCATTAACCATGAGAAAACATGAGACGGATAAATTGAAGTTGGTGGCTTTTGTTGTTCTCTATGGACTTGGGCATGTTTCAAGTAAATATTCAAGGCACACTATTAAAAGGAATGATATCTGAAAATGGATTTAAAAATAGCTTAACACATTCAACTTGATAATATTGCTTTACCTGGATGCATTTTTAAGTTACACTTCATAGACATTGCTATATAATTTAATACAAAATTATTATTCTCATGTAATGTTCCCTGATCATCTCTACAGAAAGTATTATAAAATGTATAGATATTAAGGCTGGAAGCTCTAATATGACCTCTGATAAAACATGGCCATTTCTATACATAGCCTATAACTCTGTCTGCCAAACAGTAGTAACAGTGGGCTGCTCATAAAGTAACCAGTTTTTATCTGAAGACTCTGATGATGGAGATATTACCACAGAACTATGGATGCTGTGAGAGCATTTAGTTATTATCACTTCTGAAGGATGGTGGTAAACTGAGAACGCCATTCCCTGTTAGCTGATGCCTTTTATTCCCTTTGCTTCCCTAGGAAAAACTGAGATCTGATAATTTTGATAGCTAGTATAATAGGGTTTGCACCTTTAAAACAAACATACAAAGGGTATTGAATCCTCTTGAATTTATATAATTTCCCTTTGCAGTTCAGAAATATGTGGAAGAGCTAGGACTACAGCTCTGCAAGTTTCAGTCATCAGTAGAATGAATACATGTCATATCTGCTCACTCTGTGCTATTATAACTTAAATCAAATCCCAACAGTCTTTGGATCAGTCTTGCAGACGTAAAGAACATGCCAAGGTCATTTAAAGCATGTAGTTATCTTATCTTAAGTAGGAACTTAATGGTTTCACTGAATTTGGGCCTAATTTTTTTTATTCCAGGTAGGCATAATATCAGATGAAATAAGGAAATAATTTAAAGAACTTAAGGATTAGTCAGTAGACCCTGGTGAGTCCCTTTTTGGTGACATTTCTGCATCCTACTCATTTGTCAAGTATGTAAACTCATTCCTGCAGTTACCAAACATATCAAGAATATTTTTATCCCTACAACTGATGCTGGTTTTGTTTCAACTTTCTTCCTCAAGCTCAGCAAATGCAATTCTGCTCTGCTAGTTGCAAGTTGCAAGCAATGTCTTCAATTCCTAAATTCAGAGTCTTCTTCCAGGCACAGGTAAAAAAAGAAAATATTTGAAAATGGAAACTGGTATATCTTTTCCTCCCCCCACAGGACTCAAAAGATGAATATAATTTACTGAAGTTCTCTTTACACACAAAAAATGAGATGTGTTGCAGAAAAGTGTACCAAGAAAGTGTAAATTTGAAAGGTATTAGAAAGAAGAAGAAAAACTGGGGAAAAAAGTGCTGTATTTCCTCTTCCAGGAAATTCAGAGTTAGTCCATACAGGCTATTCTCCAGTATTCATTTTGGACCGTTGATTATGCTCTTTTGCTATCCCTTATAACTTACTATTACATGTATGAACAGATTTCAGTTCAAAATTATCTTGGAAGAACAGTTCAAAGATTCATGTGTGTAAAGAAGGGCACTTTGATGTAAAAAGACCATTTGATATTTGTGATTCATTATTGTCCTGTTTTTAACTTCTCAGCCAGTTAGAAAAAGAGCAGAAACCAAAATCACATGACATAGGCTTATAATTATGCACTTTAAATACAGAATACCAAATTGTGCAGCTCATATTCAAATTAATACTAAATATCATTTGATATTTGTTTGCACAAATACATTTTCAATATCAAAGCAAACAAAAGAGAGAGCTTTGAAATTACTTTTTTATCCATAATGAACAATTTATTTTGTCCTGTACATAAGCCTAGTCAAAAACCATTAGGCCTCACATTTGGAAAATTACTTCATCCTCTTAGCCAGTTACTTGCAAGAAACATCAGACTCAGTCTGGGCTGTGTCTTTTCTTTGATACTGTAACTAGTATCAGAAGATACTAACTTTGCTAGCAAATTGGATAAAGGCCATAAACGTGCACAATCCAGATCACTACCTAATTAAATCAGGATAATTCCACTCATCTGACGGAAATGCATCCATTTTTATTAGTGATGATCACCCAGCATTATCTCAATTTCCAAGATCTAGAAATAACTGCAAGAGAGTCTTCATGTGCCTCAGGGATTAGTTTGTTCCATGTCTGCTTTTCCCTGAGAAATTTTCTGTAGTAGCTAGGCATACCATACTTTGGAATTACAGTTAAAATCATATTTCAGAAGTTAATTGAAAAATGATCAATTCTATTTGGCAAACAAGAAGATTCATCCATTCGCAGATTTGAGGAACAAGTTCTAATGAGTCATGATCAAACCTCTCCTGACGTCTATCAGATGTTCTTTGGATATTGTATGTTTACAAACATAAACACAGAACAGCGCCTGTTGTTTCAGATTAGAGATTTCTGCCATGCTTCTAACATCACAAAACCTACTATGGTTGTTGCCCAAGTTGAAGATATATACATTATTTCACTGTGATTACTTTCAGATAATCATGGCTTTACAATGTTTTCCCTTTTCAGGCTACATTTTCCATGTGGTCTATGCACAAATCTAAAATATTTATCCATAACTCAGTTGAAAACTGAGCTATTTGGGGATGCAACGAACAAATACACTTTCCTTAGAGGCAAATATCTTAGTAGCTTTAGTTTTGTAAAAGCCTCATAATGGAAACAGTTAGGAGCAAAATATGTTATGGAAGTGCTGCATCTTTTGCATGTTCCACCATATATGGTATCGGTGATGGCATTACTTAGTCTGATATTTACTGAATTTATCAGCGCTGAATGTCAGGACCAAATAACGATGAACTTTTCAAGCAATACCATATTATGTCATGAGTCTCAATAATACACAGAAATATGTTCTGCATATTCTGCTTCAGGCATCAGCAAGGATGGGGATAGGCTTTGAGTTAGGCTGAGCAGCTGCTGTTGCTGCCTCTGCCAGAGGCCGACTTCACAGCTAACGTTTCCAACTCAGGGGCAGCAGGAGCAGAAAGCCTTGATTTCCTACAGATTTCCTCCTTGTCCTATCCCCTCTTGACTCTATGCTTCACTGACCCCTCTTAACCCTCATCCTGCTTCTGACCCATAAATCCCTTCCAATCCTTTAACCCACCATCTTGAGTTCCAGCTAAAATATCTGTCAATTGCCTGCAGTAACTTACTTGTTGTTTAACACCAGCCAGATTCTCGGGAGTACTCTGCCTGCCTAATCCAAACAAGGATGTCATGGCTGTCAACCAAATAATTCAAGAGGCTACTCAAAGAAAACAGGAAGTATGGAGTTGTTTTGGGTGTTGGTGCCCAGGTGCTGGCAGCGGGGGCTGCAGAGACCTCTGTCAGGGGAGACCAGGGGCTGCCCTGTGCCAGACATGGCCAGTTCCAGCCGGTTCCAGCTGGTTCCAGCGGTCCCACCACAGCGCACAGCTGGGCCTGTCAGCCAAGATGGTGGCTCCGCTGTGAAAACGTATTTAAGAAAGGGCAGAAAAGGCTGGAGGGAAAGAAGAGGAGGAAACAAAAGGAGTGAGAAACGGCACAGGGAACACCAAGATGAGAGGAGGAGGAAGAAGAGAAAGAGGAGGTACTCCATGGTGGAGCTGATATCCACACTACGGCCCGTGGAGGATCCCCATTGGAGCAGGTGGGTATTCCTGAGGGAGCTGCAGCCTGTGGAGAGGACCTATGCTGGAGCAGGCAGAAAGTGTGAGGAGGAAGGAGCGGCAGAGAGGAGCTGCTATGGACTGACCACAACCCCTCACACCCCATATCCCTGTGCTGCTCAGGGTGGGGGGAGTAAAGGAGTGATGTGGAGCCTGGAAAAAGGCAGGGGAAGGTGTTCTTTGAAGGTTTGCCTTTTTTCCCCACTACCTGAATTAGCAATTAAATACCTATCTTAATTGGCATTAAACTAAGTTCATT